ATCAGCTCTAATGCTCTTCCTTACGTGCTTGTTTGCTTCTGTGTAGTGGGCTTGAATCTTTTTCAGGGTTTCTGTAGAGATCCATTCCTTATGATGAGGCTTCTTGCGGCCCAGCGCCCAATAACATGTTGAATTCAATGCTTCTTGGATACCATTCCACTTGTCCGTCTTGGTGGTTTCTTCTCCATTGGGTAGATTCTGTAAGGCTTGGAACATGTTGTTGGGAGTTATCTTGAATCCTATAAGTTTTCTGGCATGTCTTGGGAAGGCTGTATTGAACATTTGTAATGCTCTTTACCCAGCTGTCCAGTGTTTCTTTAGTTTCAACTACATCTTGGCGACAATCAGGTGGTGATCCACTGCTACTAGACACGGAAGCCTGCTAAGTGTAAGCTTCTTCCATTCCGTCCACAACCATTTGAACCATTTTGGACCTGAAATTATGTCAACTCCTCCCCTGATTTTCACATCTTGCCCTTGGTAATGTTTTATTGATGCAATTATGGTCCACCTGGTTGTCTGTGGTGTGGTCCGGTGAGATCCATGTAGCTTTGTGTATGCGTTTGTGTGGGAATATTGTGATGCCTATAACCAATTTATCGAATGCATATACGTTTGCGAATCGCTGCTCTCTCCTTATCCATGTCTTCCTATGATGTATTCATGCCAGGTTCTGTCCAATCCGACTTTGGCGTGCATAACGTTGAATGACATGCATCGTGATTCCCTCCTAATTCGTAGTGAGGGATACTTTGATGATTCTGGATCCATGAGGTTCCCATCCTATAAGTGCATTTTGTGCTTATTGGGAAAACATCGAACCAACTCCCTGAGTGTAAGGAGCAATTTGTTATTCGTGACTGGAGTACAGCAGCATCTCTCCGCTATTTAGCCTCTGCTTTCCCGCTTGGGTACACTTGTTCTCGCTGATTCCGAGCGCTGCCATGTTGTATCTCCTCATTCTTATTGCTATTCGACCAATGTTCTTGATCCGCTACACTGTCCGTTCGTTCCATGTACCTATGTTAATCGTTTTTCTGGTTGTTACAAGGGGCACCGTCCGAAGTCTTAAGAATGTCGGCTTTCATCCTGAAGTGTCATAATTCTTCCCTCAACTCCCGAGATAGAGTTTAAATGGTTTGATTTCTTTAATCTGGTTGACGTTTTTTCTACGTGGTCGTTGTTGCCGACCCCATGCCCGACCTTCAACACTATAAAGTGTCAAGTGGCCCGTCTGAGATATGTTGCGTTCTACGCATGCAACTTAATAACTCAAATCTAGTAGTATTCTAGGTTGGAAAGTATTGGGGGGTGTTGTTACTCTGTGATCTGAAGTCTTACCTTAACTGAGACAAAACTGCCCTTCGGAGAACCTTGCACCGCTGATTATTAGACCCAATTTTGACCAATTTGACGGTATAACTTACAATTTGATCTTTGACAGTCTTATTCAACATCATATAGAATATGGGAACGTAGTGTATGAGACTATAATTTGTAGTAAAACCAATCAGATATAAGATAACTGGTCTCGGATTTTGGCGTATAACACACTCATCTATTTGTCTGACAAGAGTTCTGACATATCAGCTTATGTCATTTCGTAGCAAAAACCCTAGATCTAGTTCTTGAACCTAACTAACAACTGTAAATCATAGTTCTAGTCACACACACTGGTTGAGAATCCCCATTCAGTCCCAGTTATAAGGTGTCCATTCTCAATGTCAGTTTAGCGTCTCTCAGAGATCGTACATAAATTATAGAATCAGCGTTTCACGTCACAAACTCAAACCATAAGAAGGGAGCTTCAAATCACTCAATTTCCATGCTAGGTTTGAGGTGGATGCGAGTTTACTCAGACTGCGAACGGAACAAATACTCGGTGATTAAAAACCAATAGGATAGTCATTTTATGCATCCCAACCCTGCCAAATAGAGTGGGATGTCCAAGCTTGTAATAGGGGAAGTATATTTCGCAAACAATTAGAAACGAGCGATAATAACAAACAAATCAAAACATATAAATACAGCACAAAACCGTCCTTGGGGAGAGTTATGAAGTAGCATTCTGAAAGACACAACGGACCAATTTCATTCAAGATTTACCCAAGTGGGAAATAGGACACGAATGTGAAAAAAGCGTTTTTGGAGCGAAAACAAACAAATTCAAAGTTTTTAAGTAAAATTACAAAATTAGGTCAGTTTCTAAGTGAGTTCTGGGGATTTAACCTCCTCACCAATCTACCAATTACTGTACAGGCATTCTAAATACGTAAACGCATGCATAAGCTCAGATCCAGCACAAAACTTGGGAGCGACGTCCCACCCTATGACTTCACATGTAGCCGGTTCCACCACTTTTGACGAGCGCCCTACAAAATTATGTTGATCCGATATCACATCACCTCTGTTTTACTTAAACTTCATATGTCTTAGGATGATATTAGAACGGAACACCATGTCCAGTAGAAACCAGACTGAACGATGGTGCATTTAGATATCGCCAAACACCAGCTGTTACGAAGTATCATCAGAAGGGAATGCGCCATACCCATATCCACAATTAGGCACAGAGAACAGCGGCTCATGACGAGAGGTGTGTAACAGTACTAAATGTCAGCATATATAATGTTATCTATGTGAAGCATTTTTGCAAGGTAACAAATGGTAAGTGTGCCGGATGAAGAGCATGCATTGTATAGCCTAGACTTGCGAAATGACGTGCGAAACTATTTTGTAAAAACGTTTCCACTTTTGTAACAACGCATGGTTTGATTGTCGAAATGTATAAGTTGTTTCTGGCACATAGTGTTCCTCCTCTTCATGTATTCACTGATCCTGATCTGTATGCTGTTGTATTTGATCTCTTCGGACTCCAAATAAGCGCCGACAACACGTGTAGTGAGACTAGAATTTATGGATGACCTTTAAGAGACGCTGAGCTGATGTTGAGAATGGACAACCGCTGATTAGGAATAAATAAGGGTTAGAAACCAGTTAAAATTATGATTTACAGTTGATGGTCAGGGCTGAAAATTAGATTTAGGGTTTTCATCACTAGCTGACATCAGCCATTATACTGGGACGGAGTGAATTTCGCGCCATAATTTAATACTCGTTATATTATGTCTGGTTAGCTCGTTCATTAATTACAGTCTAGCCCCACGACCTTTCAAACATTGGAGTCCAAGGTGACTTTGCCACATTCTAGAGAATAATCAAGGTTTAAGTGTTGATTCTGGAAGCTGTAACAAATGCTAAATAGTACCCACTGGGGCCGCAGTGGCTGTAAATCTGTTTGTCATTTATTCAAAGTTGTACTAAAAGGCTCACCGTAATTCCAACTACCAATTTATCGGCTGTTTAAATGGTAATTACTTTGCTCAAGTTCTGTATATTCACTCAATTTCTCAGCTTTCCTTTTAATCTACTACTTGCACTGAACACAGTCACCTTGATAAAAATACCGTCTTTTGAGTCCGGAGGTAACTGACTAGTGTTGTTTGTGCACTAATTGAATGTCGTAGTTTTGTAGTACATGTAATCCTATAGGATCACCAGTAGGGATGCAATTGATTAATGTTTTATTGAGAGCAAAACTGCCTACTAACTTACAATGAATTTCCCGATGTAAATGAAAAGGTGTCCAACCCAAGCCCAATCAACCAATAAAGGCGAAAAAAGGGGAAAATGCTTTGGTAAAGAAAGGGGAAAACGCGCCAAAATGTCGCCTTTTTCGCCTGTCTGGGGAAAATAATGCGGATTTCCCCCTTTTTGTCGCTAAATTGTCTACTTTTCGCCTAAATATCCGCCAAATTGTCTACTTTTTGCCTAAATTTCCGCCGAATCGTCTACTTTTCGCCTAAATTTCCACCGAATTGTCTACTTTTCGCCTAAATATCTGCCAAACTGTCTACTATTCGCCTAAATTTCCACCGAATTGTCTACTTTTTGCCAAAATTTCCGCCGAATCGTCTACTTTTCGCCTAAATATCCGCCAAACTGTCTACTATTCGCCTAAATTTCCACCGAATTGTCTACTTTTCGCCTAAATATAAGCGGAATTGACTGCTTTTCGCATAAATGCACACAGAATTACGCGTTTTTTATCAAACCTTAAAATCGCCATTAGCAATACCCAAAAGTTCTCCAAAATTCGCCTTTACTTCTACAACCAACCACAGCGAAAGTGCAATGGATGGGAAAAGCGCTATATATGTTTACATATTTTTATTTCAGAGGAAAATCGTATTGTTTTACAATATAATAGCGGAAGCTTGAGCATCAGTCGTTCAGCATTTCAATTGTAATTCCCAATTCGTCGTGCTTTGAGATCTGCAACAGAAGAAACATGTGATGTATTATTTATAACACATGTGCATTTAATCGAAAGTTCACTGACAATGAGTAAGAATTCAAGATCTCTAACGAAGAAATGTTTATTAAAAATAGGTACAACGTCAAACAAAATTACACCGACTTCATTCTTCAGCAACGTTTGTTCGGCTATTGACAGTGAAAGCAGTCGTCCTGTGAATTCTGAATAGTAAAAAAATGAAAAGTCAAAACGAATTCTGAAAAACATGTCCCAAGACACAGAAAAGTACTATAAGCTAAACTTACGGTTATGTTCGTTAAGACTGTTGACTGCAACTATAAAGCAGTAGGGAAATTATCACTTTAAATTAGTACATACCTGCTCTTGCTTCCGTCGATTACGCTTCATGAACTTGTCTCTGACGTCATGGAAATAACCTTGTGTCGCGATGTCGTAAAGCTTCGCAAGGTCTTTTTCATTAACGGAGGATGACAAGAAGCGATTTGTCAATGCACCTGAAGTTAAATTTATAAGTATAGGTTACTTCGTATGCAGCCATAAAACCGGCATTTCTGAAGTGCGCGCTTTGAAGAAGTGCCCAGCAATGTGAAATTACTGGCCACCTCAGGTGTCATGATGTACGACAAAACGTAACGCATTGACGTTTTAAGGTCATCACCCATTAACCTCGTCAGCATCGCCATCTGTTACACGATGTCAGTAAATTAATGTTGCTGACTTACAAATCTGTCCCTCGTTTCCTTCTGCTGCAACCCAGTGTCCAGCATCTGCAGTTCCTCTTCCGATGACAATGGAAACTGCTGACTTGATACTCCGCAATCGAATTGATGCTGATGATCGTGTTCACTAAACTTGGCTAGTAGTAGCTTGACATTTGTACTCAAGTCAGTTATCGCTGAAGACATGTTTTGCATTGTCTTACTCAAATCAGCAATAGCTGACGACATGTTCTTCAAGGTTTTGTGCAACCTATCAAATCTTAAAAACGTCAATTGATGGTACAGGTGACTTACTGGCCCGCTGAAGCACAGTCTACATGCTTAGATTCCACTGTTGATGGTGGTGTTTCTAATTGTGTAGAACTACTCCATTAACATTTACATAGAAATGAAACGTACTTGTCAATTGGCGAGACAACTTTGTCGAACAACCGAAACTGTGGCTGAACACCTGTACACGTCCGTAGAATGCTTCTGATGCTCCTTGGTAAGTCCGGAACCAGGTCTCTTAAATTATTCAGAATTCGATCAGCATCACTGATGCTGAGAGAGGTGTTCGTAATTAATGACATCAACACGTTGTTGATCTGGTCTTTGCGATTAAGGGACTTTTGAGAGCATAATATAACGTCAGTAGATCCTACAAAAAATGTATTCGCGTATTAACTTTATATACATACCATTATTATCTGGAGGCCTTTGATAACTGTAGCTAGTGGATGGTGTCATATTTGGAGTCTCATTACTAGTAATTTTTCTCTCCACTGCTGTCAATTAAACGTGCACTACATAGAAAGTCACTTACCTGTGATTGTGCTTTCACTAGCAGACTCACTAAATGAAAGCAAGTTATGTTTTTTTATGAAAGCTATTCGTATTTTATTCCATCGTCTGTTATAAGTCCATCTATGACAACCAAGAACGCTTGACAGGTTAATAGTTGCCCTTCGTCTACGAGCTCTATCGGTGACTTCAATGGAACTAATGTTATTGGACTAACAAGGTAGTAAATTGTAATGATCATGAAAAACGTAGAGCACGTCACTCACTTGCATCACGTTAGTTATTTGTGTTGGATACCAAGCATGTCCGAACACTTTAGCTAAACAAAGATTAAAGTCAGTGAATATAAGTGTCAGCCTAATCACTGCGTTCGTATTTTGTTAATTGTTTTCATGACAATAGTGATGTTTCTTTCATAATCTCTTAGTTATTTTTTGGACGTTTATGAAAACATAAAAACTGGAGGCGGCATATTCAAGAACTATACGTAACGTATTTTTGTCTACAAATATCCCCTAAATACACGCCGTAAAGGCGAAAAAGCGACATTTCCCCTAAATAGCCGACGTAAAGGCGAAAAAGCGACATTTCCCCTTTATTTACGCTTTCGTCCCCTTTATTTCCCCTTTTTTTCCCCTATATTGGTTGATTGGGAGCTCCCAACTTTGGTGAAAAAACCCGTACTTAAGTACGTCTAGTTTCCTTCTTATGAGTTCATCTGATGCGGTTAACCGCATCAGATACTAATATTGACATAAATTGTGGTGCTTGAGAATTATTTTCATATGAGCGCATAGTAATATTTACTTGAGAACAAGTTTCTTTCATAGTCAAGATAACATGTACTCTTTTCAGTAAATCATCAGTTATCAAATGCTGATTTAATTGTGTTTTTTTATTTCTAGGCGGTACAGATCAAGTATGGTTCGTTATTGGAAGCATCGTGGCGCAAAAATATTCAAAAACATCGAACCGCATATCCAGAAATATTTTCCTTATCACAAGCCTGAGCTTGGAGGTACTTCTCCTCAGCATGCTAGTATAACGGGGAAAAAACCAAAAGTACCTTTCGACTATGCGATTGGGCAAATAGTGCCGTTTTCACAAAGCTTAACGTCATCATTCCCAGACATTGTGAAGGTCCGCTTGCACAAGCTCTGCTTGAATCGTTTCCTGATGAAGGTAATTCGCTATTGTCATGTTATCGATTTATAAATGCGATCTGCAGTATTTTTATCAAACAGCAACATACTGGGTTCATACACAAGGCTTTTTGGTCAACATTGGAGACATCGTGCTTATTGAAAAGGCTGATCCACCAATGGCGTTCAATACCATGTATAAACTTAAGAAAGTCGAGTTTCCGGTTGGTAATCTTATTGATCCTGTCACAGGACTACAATCCGAAGGTCCTGAATATTCCGTTGAGACACTGAGGTCTATTCTGAATCGAGAAAATAATACTTTGAAAAGTGTTGAAAACTAAACACATTTCTAATTTATTTTGAGATGAATAATTGCTTTTTTCAATATACGGGTTAAAGTGTAGCAACGTATTGACTCTTGTTAAAATATAATGCTCCTTATGTTTTAGTAGTATATTTTTACAGAAATAGTGGCAAGAAACTCATGACCATCCATTAGAGAATACAATAGGTTTTGACTTATCGTGTAGACAGGAATTAAACCAAAATATTAAAAGCCAAGTAATCTCATAACCTCTTGACGTTCATTCCATACTGATAGACTTTTTCGTAGAGTTTTATGCTTCAATTTGCCCCCAAATGCCCTGGTATGACCGAGAGTGGGGTGGGTTCGCCCTCCCACTCGAAATACTATCACACGGCCACACGTATATATCCTCTGCCAGGGAAGTCCTACTCACTGCCTTCTCGTGGCGCGGGTGTTGTTTACGAAAATGAGAGGACGAACAGCGAACGTCCGGCGCAATAACCGGATTTCAAATCAATGGTGCACATGGGCTGGCTCCAGTATCCTGAAGGAACAAATGGCGTATGAACCGATTTCTTGGTCACCGGCTTCAATGGGACTGCATCTCCTCACGATGCTCCACTGCCTTGTGGGTTAGACCTTTAGGTCGAAGGCTCGGGTTGTGGCCCCCTAAGAAAACCACTTGCTTCAGTTTGGGCACTCGGGCAGTATCACAGTCCACACACAAATATAATGAAAGTGATGATCTTCTCTAAAAACTCTGTTCACGCTGCGATTTATCGTCAAACAATTAACATTATTATTGTTATTATTATTTACCACGTCATTTATTCACTCTTTTATTTGCACTCTGTCTATCCTTATTTTTCGATTTATACAGCAGCTCGCCTATGGTGGACATTCGGCTCTATTTAAACGTTCTCGTGTCACTGTCTGGTTGAAAATTGTATGTTACCGTCGAATAAGAGTACTGAAGCAGTTTTTCTGAAACCAAGCGCACCATTCAAACTGGCTGCCTTTAACGTTCGCACACTTATGCAGGTCGGGCAACAGATAGGGCTGGCTATATCTTTGGAAAGTCTTAATATTGACGTTTGTTGTCTATCCAAGACCCGTATTCAAGACTGGTGAAGCAGTACAAATTCACTCTCCATCTGTCACTTCAAAAAGCTTGTTTTATGTGCGTTTATCCGGGGACCCTGTGGCATCTTCGTCTGGTCTTGCTGGCGTTGGTGTCGCACTAAGCGCTAGAGCTAAGGCAGCACTAATCGACTGGATCCCCATTAACAGTCGGTTATGTGCTGTTAGATTAGAAAGTACCATCAAAGCGAGAAACGATGTCTTTTCGTCGTCTCCGCCTATGCCCCGACAGATTGCAGCCCTGACGCAATCAAGGATGAGTACTACCACCAGTTAACTGCGTTCGACAGATATTGTAGTACTAGTCGGAGACTTGAATGCTCAGGTCGGGCGTCTAGACACAGAAGAGAGTCGTTTAGGTGGCCGATGGGGACTTGTTGGCCATAGGACAGATAACGGGGAACGTCTACTGCAACTATGCACAGACCACAACCTGTTTCTGGCTAGCACTAACTTTCGGCATAGTCATCGCCGATGTGCCACCTGGCGTCCTCCCTCTGCATCTCAAGCCTGGACTCAGATTGATCAAATCGCGATCAGCTACCCCTGGCGTGGTTGTGTACAAGACAGCCGCTCCTTTTGGAGTACCTATCTGGAATCTGATCATGCTCTGGCCTTATTTTTCAGTGGACAACGAAGTGACCGCCACCAAAGGATTGACGTTAGCAAGCTGGTTGCAACTTCTGTTGCTAGTATGTACCGAACCGAGTTAGCTTCTAGGCTAGCTACCATTCCACCGAAAAGTATAGATGAGCATTGGTTGCAATTGTATGACGCCATGAAAATGGCGGGTACAGTCTGTTGTGGGTTCGCGAAACGTCCCGCTTACAAGCACTGGGTTTCTTCTGGTTCCTTACAACTGATTGAAGCCCATCGGTCTACTCCGGGTGACCGTGAGTTTGACCACAGACGAGGGATGTTACGTAATGAAATCGGGCAAAGCTTGCGTAAGGACCGAGAAGCCTGGTGGTCGGAGCGTGCTAATGAGCTGGAAGCAGCAGCTGCATCTGGTAATTACCGGAAGCTCTTCCAACTCATCCGAGCCACTGGCAGCAAGAAGTCTGGTGTGAGTGAAACAATCTGCGAGGATGACGGAACGTCAATCACTAACATCCATCGACGTCTTGGACGATGGGCAGAATTCTTCGAATGGCAGTTCAACTGGCCTGCTGCTCCTGCAACGTCGGTCAGACTGTCCTGCCCTCCATGGCCGGTGACGACTGATCCACCAAATGAGGCGGAAGTCCGGCTCTTTTTAAAGATGGTGGTGACTTTCTGACTAAGGGACTGACGACGTTGTTTACAAAGGTCTGGGAACTAGAGAGTGTACCAACGTCATGGAATGAGTCGATAGTTGTCCCTATCTTTAAAAAGGGTTCACGTCGTTCCTGTAACAACTATCGGGGGATAAGTCTACTTCCGATCGCGTCCAAGCTATTGGCTTCCGTGATACTTCGTAGGTTGTTCGAAACCCGAGAAAGATTGACTCGCGAGGAGCAGGCTGGGTTTCATTCCAGTCGAGGATGTATTGATCATATCTTCACCCTCCGCCAAATGTTAGAACACCGCCATACTTATCAAAGGCCAACAATCGTAGTGTTTCTTGATATCAGGGCTGCCTTCGATTCGTTGGACAGAACTGATATTGTCTTACTGTGCGAGAATGCCCAAGCTATGCAATCCGCACTTCATCAGTTGGCAATCAATGTCCGTAGGTATGGTATGTGCTTTGCACCTTCGAAGTGTAAAGTACTTCTACAAGACTGGCAGGATTCTAATCCTGTACTCAATCTGGATGGTGAGCAGATAGAAGTAGTCGAGAAGTTCGTGTATCTAGGTAGCTGCATAAGTGCTGGTGGTGGTGTGAGTGATGTGATCAATGTACGTATAGTGATAGCCAGAGCAGTTTATGCCAATCTGGGCCATCTTTAGAGCCTTCGTGATGTTAGTCTGGCTGTAAAAGGTCGGATCTACAACGTGTCAGTGAGAGCAGTTTTGCTCTATGCATGTGAGACCTGGCCTCTCCGAGTTGAGGATGTTAGACGTCTCTCTGTGTTCGATCATCGTTGTCTCCGAAGGATTGCTGACATCCAGAGGCAACACCATGTTAGTAATGCAGAGGTTCGGCATCGTGTGTTCGGGCACAGTGACGACAATCCACTTGGTGTCACCATCTTGAAACACCGACTTCGGTGGCTTGGACATGTTCTACGAATGTCGTCCCAGAGAATTCCAAGTCGTGCACTATTTGCCGACCCTGGGACTGGTTGGAAAAAGCGGAGAGGTGGTCAGTGTATGACATGGTGTCGTGGTATGAAAGAACGCTGCAAAAGGCTGGCTTGTGTTGGTCCTTCACGACTCCCTGGCTGGGGTCCGAGAGATGGTGTAACACAGTGGCTAGAGACGTTATCAGATATGACTCAGAGTAGAAGCCAGTGGCGATCCTGTTGTAACCTTTTTTTACTTTCTTCATGAAGTGGCTGTATCCTCCTTAAATATAAGATTTCTTCTGAGTGTACCTTTTCGTCTCCCCCCATTATTGTTCTTTTTTTATTTTATAATCCCCTACGTTCCTTAGTTTTTTTCCCTTCTTAAATTCTCATTGTTTTGTGTGGCGCATATATATTTGGTGCCCCCCTGTACCAATATTTATGTGTTCAAATAAATAAATAAAATAAATAGAGTTTTATGCATTGTCAAAGTGTTCGTGTTTATTGTTCTTACTTATATCGGTTTTACAAATACAATAGACATTAAACGCTCTGCGACCCTAATTTTCATACTCAGTCGTTTAACAGTAATCCGGACTTTCATGCTGTATTGTATTTTTGAGTCGGTTAGGTACGTTATGGCAAAAGTAAAGCACTTAACAATGCTGTTAGAGACCTTATAAGAATAAATTTTGGTATTTATTTGTATGATATTCAAGTGACTTCGGAGAACTGTTTTTCGACTGTTAGTTCTATAGTACTTTTGATGTAGCTCCCCCCCAATAATAAGTTTAACATTAATGCTTATCACCGATACCCACTTCTACCTTTTTACAACATAGCTTTTGATACTTAGGCACCATCCTTAAGTACTGATGTGGTTAGCTTGAAGCGTACCGATAATTTTTTCACTCAGTGAGGTTTTAAAACCCTACAGAAACTCAATGTTAACTTACCGCATATAGCTATGCTGTCCTAAACAATTATTTGAAATTATATCAATACCTGTATTAGGTCAACGCACTGTAAGAGCCTGTTTTGAGTACACAATCTATAAAGACACTATTGACGACTGCTTAAATAAGAAACAGACATCAGTTACTCAAACTCAGAGTTGTTTTCGAATTTTATATGAAAGTGTTCAGCTTGTATCAATGAATTCGAATTCCTAATACTACTGCAACGGTAGTCACAAATACACTGACAAGTGATAAAAAGAGTATTAGTAGTGTGTGCAGGGAGTCTTCTTTTAAGTAATTTAACGCAACTGGTTCCTTTGATAAGTTTCGATAGTGCAATAAGAAGACAAAGATTATTAGAACTATGTGATATATTAGGGCAACACATTTCGAACAAACTCATCACACATATACTTGTTAAGAATAATAATATATTAAAATAAAAGGTCAACTAGACAAGAAATGGAGGGTAAGAGGAGACAAAGATAATAAAAAATAATGTGAAAGCAATCACTGTGGATAATAAGTTAATACTTCCAGGGTAGGTTCGAGGTGATAACAAACCGTTTTTCAATACATAAAGGGTGTTTGAATTTTCGTTTGGTTAAAGCTTTAATAAACCTTAGCATACGCCCTTTTACACTTTTTTACAACGCCACAAAAGACATGTTAATTTCAATCCTATAACCTGCTTCAACTATGTATCTGGTAATAGAGGATGATGGAAGTTTATCACCTACTCTTATTGTGCCATTTGATGTTATCTGTGTTTGCAAACATTTAGGTGCCCTAATTTAGAGACCATGATTACTCCTTCCCATGTATGTGTGGC